CTTTGTGCTGCTGAGAACAACTGTTACAAATACTGGAAGATATTGCTTAAAGGCAAACAGAATGAGTACTTGGAGGAGGTGGCCCCATAAATTATATATTTGATAACTGATTCCACTTTTAAAGGAAGCTGCTTCTGTTTTTAAATACCCATGAGATAGGTGCCCCCTGCAGAGCTATAACCTATAGTCTTTTAAACTATACATAAGAACCATTTAAAATACGTTGGTAGGTAAGACTGTGTTAACAGAAACAAAGAGGTTAAGTTTGGGAAGGTTATACTTTGGTTTCACGAAAACACATGTCAAGCTGTTCAGCCCACGTTACACCTGGTGCAGACATCACACTGTAATCACTCAAGCCATGCGTCATTTCATCTCCACTCACCCAAAACAAGAGATGTCACCAGTGAAAGATATTTTCTAGGTGGGAGAAGTTCAGGTAAGGATTTCAAAGGCAAGATAATTTAAAAGCAGCTAGTGTGAACTTTTTCTCAAAAAACCCTAAAAGTTAGAGAAGAGCATATGCGCTCTTTGGAACAGACATGTAACTGGAATGTCACCACCCCTTCTTGAGTTTGAGAGGCACCAATATGTATTCCCAGACCATGTGTTTTCAAGCACCCTCACTTGTCTGAGAGCCACCTAGGAAATAGCTGATAACAGCTCCAGAAATCACCACAAGGGGGAGCATTGACCTGGCGAGTTAAGCCCTAGGGGACAGTGTCAGGTGGAGTCTACAGTCTGGACTTAACAGGGCATGTCATGAAGCCAACTTCCATCATTCACAGGTTCAGCCATTACCCAGGCTGCAAGCCAGCCCTGTAACACTTAGTCCATGTGAGCTGAACATCTACCACCTTTTAGGATCCCAACCAAACTCTTTTTTTTTTTTTTTTTTTTTTTGAGACGGAGTCTCGCTCTGTCGCCCAGGCTGGAGTACAGTGGCGTGATCTTGACTCACTGCAACTCCGCCTCCCGGGTTCACACCATTCTCCTGCCTCAGCCTCCCAAGTAGCTGGGACTACAGGCACCCGCCACCTCGCCCGGCTAATTTTTTTGTATTTTTAATAGAGACGGGGTTTCACCGTGTTAGCCAGGATGGTCTCGATCTCCTGACCTTGTGATCCGCCCACCTTGGCCTCCCAAAGTGCTGGGATTACAGGCATGAGCCACCGCGCCCGGCCCCAACCAAACTCTTATCCTACAAGTCACCCCAGGGGTCTGGAAGCTTCTCAAGCAAAATGTTTTCTTTACTCCCTGTCCTGAACATTGGAGTGTGCTGCGTAAACCTCTCAAGAAAGCTCAACTCAAATGTCTGCAATCCTTCTTAGAAAGGGGAGGATCTGTCTTTGGGGCCCTATGGGTAATTTCTAATGCTGACCACGGGGACTCCTCAAAAACATTTCTACTAGAGCAAGAATGTTGAACAATTTGTGTAACCTCTCCCAGGTACCTACTATAACCCATTCTAGAAATCTAAGTAGAAAACTCTGTTTTTCCATCTAGTGTCCATGCAAGGATGGTGCATTTCTGCCAAAAATAAGTTTGGGGTCTGGCGTGTTACCTCTAGTTGATTCTTAGAAATGACTGACCAAAGAAAGTGAAGGGGAAAAGAAAACAATTTGTGGAAAACTCGTAAATAACTCTTTGTCCCCCTCCCCCAAAACTCTGTAAATGTAAAGAACACAACGTATAAGGAAAATACACCCAAATTTAATGTGCAGTTTGGTTGCCATGTAGCTGTTCATACATATTTTGCCACCTAAAGAAAATTGTACAGCTTCTAATTGTTTTGTTCTGTTTTGTTTTGTTTGAAACGGAGTTTTGCTCTTATTGCCCAGGCTGGAGTGCAATGGCTCAATCTCGGCTCACTGCAACCTCCGCCTCCCGGGTTCAAGTGATTCTCCTGCCTGAGTCTCCCAAGTAGCTGGGATTACAGGCATGTGCCACCACACCCAGTTAATTTTTGTATTTTTAGTAGAGATGGGGTTTCTCCATGTTGGTCAGGCTGGTCTCGAACTCCCGACCTCAGGTGATCCGCCCACCTTGGCTTCCTAAAGTGGTGGGATTACAGGTGTGAGCCACCGTGCCTGGCCTCTAATTGTTATTGTGACATATTTTCTTCTGGCTTTACAATTTATTTTTGTAACTGAGGCCTTAGACCCTAGATCCTAAGACAGTGCGGGTCATTTTTGTGTAGAAAGTTACGCTGATCTTGACAATTCACTTTTACTTGACAATTCACTTTTTGGCCAGAGGAAATAAAAAGAAAGTATATTGGTGTGCAATATACCAGCTTTGGAAAATGAGAACAGTTTAAGGATCTGTTTAGAATTTACATGTCTCCCAACCCAAAACTCACTGTTGTTCCTATTATTGCAGTTTCATTGGAGTAGAAAATTTAACCCGATGACCAGGAAACTGAAGAGACTCAGTAGCCTAAGAAGGGGATTATTCAAAGGAAAAAGGTCCTAACTTACGTGTTGAAATTCTCCTGTTCAAAATCTTCTAAGGGAGAGAATAGGCCATGTAGGAACATTACTGATATTGGTCATTTGTGTTTCTGAAACTCTTCATAGGAAACCACCTTGGCATACGTTGTTACTTTGAATTTTCACAACCCTGAGAAACTGGCTCGAGGGCAGTTATTATTCTTTACAAATAAGAAAATTGTAGATGTCAGGCTCACAGTCACCCAAATAACTGGCAGAATCAGCCCTCAAGTCCAGACCTTCTTTCTGAATTTGAAAGTTCACTGCTTCTTTTGTATTCTTGCTGCTACTTCTTAAGAAGCAGAAAACAGGCTCATTTGATTGTGAGGCCTTTCAAGAGTAACTATACTTGCAGGCAAATAGTGTCTCCACAATAAAACTGCCTACTTCTTTGCAAGAGATTTCACAAAAAAAGGCTTTTTCTACTCATGCTTACTGTCAGCGGTGAGACATAAAACTGAAAATGTCTTAAAGGACTAAGTTAGCATTTTGATGCCGTGAGCCTTTTAAATACCCCATTGTCTCTGAAGAGAAGGACAATCAGCCTTTGTACTGCCGGGGCATTCTTCATCCATCCCGGATCCCTGGAAGGCCCCCATTCCTCAGAAGGGCTGTTGTCTTTTTCCTGCCACAACATCAGCGCGACATATCTCACACTTAAGACGGCAGCCTACTCAGTCCCCATTCATAGATTCCTCTGGAAATTAATGTCTGCTACCTCCACCCCCTCAAAAAGAAAAAAAAAGAAAAAGAAGCTCTGGCTTTGTGAAAAGAGTTATTGGAAATAGAACTTGTGAAAAACCCTTACTATGCAATGGGAACTCAGACAATAATGTTTTGTAACAGTTCTGTTTGATGTGTACTGACGGGAATTAATCATTTTAGTTAACAGAATTGCTCTTTGTTATGTAAACTTTGTAAAGTCTGCCTCATATGACCTCTTGCGTTTGGGGAATCCACTGTTCAAAACTGTCATCTTTCTGTGGACAGCAGTATTCCTCTGGCCACTTATGGGACCACATTACTACTTGACTTCAAAATCTGCCCCGCTGCTGGGTTGGATGCCAAGCTAAGCAAAGATGAAAATACTGTAAAATATGTACACATACAAGTCCCATTCCCCAAGAAATGATTAAGTGGAATGAATATTTGTTTTCCCACTTCGCCTTTTCATAAATAGCCTCTATCAAAAATGACCACAACCCTAAAAATACACCATTTCTAGATTAACACACTTCTGTTCACTTCAGATCTCTGTCTCTTCTAAATGTATAAAATGAATAAATTGAGTGCCTTGGAGAACATAAATAGTTTGGCCTGGGATTGTGTGTTTTTATGTTGGATATTTAAGGTAGGTTCCCACCAAAATCACCATCTCCCCAGTCCCCCTAAAGATGGAATTCTCTCCTCACATGGTTTCCCTAACCTCTCTGATATGGCTTGAGCCAGCTCTTCCCATCTTAGCTAGTAGGTTTGCATTCTGTAAAACAGCCCACCGCCATCATCACAGAGATTATCATCAGACTGTTAGAATCCATTCTTCAGTCTCTTTGTGCCCATGAGAATCTAGAATGACTTCACTAACAACCAAGATTCATCAAGACCCCTTGAACTAGAGCTAGACTCTGTCTCCTAGGTTAACCTCCTACAGTTGGCTGTGAAGTAGTCAGTCCCTATGTTTACCACAAGTGTGTAGCTGATAAGCCCATTGTTAGCCTCAAATTGTTTATCTGCAAATGCAAGGGACATACCAATACATCAACATAACGTACAGAGAAAGAAAGCAGGTGTCAGACTAGAAAAGATCTGAGGTTGCATTCTTTTTCTGCTACTTGCATATAACCTGTATGATATTGCAAAGAAATGTCTCAGGACTTATTTCTCTCTTGTATAGTAAGGACAACACATGGTGGAAATTGAACTAACACATACTAAAGCAGAACTTAACACATGGAGCGTAGTAGGTGTTCAACAAATGACAGCTGCTATAATTACTATTGTTATAGTCTCTGCTATGACTCCTTTCTATTACTAAACTAAAGTCAATTTTCCACATGGTTTTCAAGAGAAAATTAGGAAACCATCCCAGGAAATAGATCATTATTCTATTTAAATTCTAGCTTTTTTTTTTTTCCTTTTCTACCCCAGGTTTTCAGATATGTAAATCTTTAAACCCCTGTGGAATGCTCATTGACATCAATAAGGACACATGATAATTTAATCATGTGTTCTTGATTCAGTTGGTTTTTAAAAGAAAAGGATAACATAATGGAAAATTACAAAAGCAAAGCACTTAGCCCCTAATACTTCTTTCTTTGAGGTGACAGAAAAAGCCCTTACTGGTTTCACACAAACTTTATCTGCCATCTAAGTGAAACAAGATTAAAGTTCTCATCTGTGCATTTAGCACAACTGATAATTTTGTAAATGCAAAAAAAAAAAAAAAAAAAAAAAACACTAGTGGGAGCGTGCTATTTGTCAAGCACAACGGTTGCCTTATAACCCTACCTGGGTCTTCAGTGATCCCGCAACCTTATCAGAAGCTGATGGGAAATTCAGGGCACTTGTTCACCAGCTGCAGGGGGATACTGTGGCTCCTCCAAATAAAGGTAATGACAGGCATAGTCATTTGAATACTTATCTGCCAAGGTATCTGGCAGCCCATCAAATGTTCGCTGGTAAACAGGTAATCTGAACTGGTGAATTCCTGCAGACAGGGAGCAATCGAGGTCCTCTTGCCAGAGAGGGAAAGAAGAATTTGCCTGATTCAGAATGTAGGTGCTGGGCCTCCTGGCTGCTGAATAGCCTCCCATTAAAGAACACAGAAGCTTTTGCATTGGTATCGAAAGCTTGGGCATATGGGCATTGAGCCCGGCTGGGGCCTGAGGTATCTTCCTACGAAGACATCTGAGACCAGACTAAGCCAGCAAAGCTGGATCCCAGGCTTCCTCCAAGGAGACCTCCTTCTGCTCTTGCAAAGGAAACCTTCAGCACAGATGTTATTTAGTTTTTCTAACGCCGTCGACTACAGCAATGTAAAAACAGATGTATTTGAAACACATATTTGGAGAAAAAAAAATATGGAGTTTATTCTATTTTTATTTATTTTTATAACATGTATTAATTTAATACAGAGAAAGAGAAAACAAATGGGCTATAATCTTACTGCCCAAGAATTTCTCTTGGCATCATTTTTGGACCTTTTTTCCCCAGCTTAACACATGCAGAAATATGTACAAATCAAAAGCGTAGAGCTTGATGAATCTTCACACACTGAACACACCTTTGTTGCTGGTACCAGCTCCCAGATCAAGAGAAAACATCGTCAACCCTCCTCCAATTCTCTTTGGTGCCTTCTAGGCATGACCCACCTCCAAGGGCAATCTTGAGCTGAACTCACAGCATAGATTAGTTTTGCCTTGGCATTTTTTTTCCCTTAATCAACACAAATAATACAGTTCTGTGTAATCAGAGAAACTTAGAAATACAGAAATATAAACTTGAAAGCAAAGCCCTCCCTTTCTTCTTACCTCCTTGTCCCTCAATGCAACTTCCATTAATAGACTTTTTGTTTTGTTTTATTTTTGCCTTTTTCCAGGGAAATGTGTATGCTGTTTGCTAACATTATTATGTCTTCTTCTCTTTCTCCTCCTGCCCTCCTCCTTCTCTCCCCTCCCCTTCCTCTTCCTCCTCCTCCTCCTCCTTGTTCTTTTACTTTACACACAGCACATCATATATATGTATTGTCCTATTAGTTGCTTACCTTCTTTGTACCACTTTTTTTTTTCCTCATCGAGGGCTGTTTGTACAAATTTCATACTACTCTATTAACAATGTTTCAGTAAATACTTTGGGAGACAGGGAGGAGCAACATTTCATGTTTTGTAACCAAATAAATTATGTTCTTGAATAGTAGAAAGAAGAAAAATTTTAAAAGATACCTTTTTGTCCCCTTCTGTAAAAAGGCAAACAGTGGCTCACATCTGTAATCTCAGTACTTCAGGAGGCTGAGGCGGGAGGATTGCTTGAGGCCAGGATTTGAGACCAGCCTGGGCAATGCAGAAAGACCTCATCTGTACAAAAAAATCTAAAAATTAGCCAGGCATGGTGGTGCACACCTGTAGCCCCAGCTGCTTGGGAAGCTGAAGTGAGAAGATTGCTTGAGGCTGCAATGAGCTATTATCACACTACTGCACTCTAGCCTGGGCAACAGAGCAAGACCCTGTTTCAAAAAACAAACAAAAAAGTGAACTAAGTTCCCTGTGGCAATTCCTTTCTCTTCTCCAGATTTCTGGGTTCTTCTATAACAGACATGAGAAAAGAAAACCCACTCAGCCCGTGTGAAGGACCCTCTATGCTCAGACTCCAGGAAACTCAGCCCCATCAGGGGTAGTCCTGCAACAACTGTAGAAAAGCCCATTCCTGATCTATGGTGTTTGTTGGTCTAGTATTTCATGAATATTTAATATTTTCTTTGCTATCAGGTTGAAAAATGAAAGCCTTTCTTTCCAAAACAAAATACCTAGAGATCACCTAAGTTTCCTTCAGTGAGCTGGCTTAACTTGGTTTTACTTTGGCAGAGGAAATTGCCATCCTAGAGAGGCATTTTTCAGTATTGCAGACTTTAAGCCTGCAACTTTATTTTAATTAAAATATATTTTTTCCAATAGGTGGCACTAGTGTGTTTAGCAATGCATGCCCAGTGAGGGGAATTGTGCAGTTCAAAGTAGCTGCACTTAGCACTTATCAGCACCTTTCCCATACACTCCTAGAGGCTGTCTTGACTTCTCAGCACTTCCAATGAGATTGCAAGATACCCAAACAAGCATTTCACAAACTGGCCCTTGACTTGTGGCTAATGAAAAATAGATTACAGAAAGGGGAGAATGGATCGCCAATGAAGAATATTCCCTTTGCCCTTTAGTTCATTTAAGGAAGTATTAATATCTGAAATTTAAAGTCCAGAACTGACATTTTCCCTGTACATACAACTAAACACTGATGAAATACTAAAAGGCTAGCAGGCCTAGAAGTCAGCTACTTAACACGAACATCCAAAGAGAGCCATGCACTTTGCTTCTGTTTCAGATTTTCCATTTGTGAGAAAAAAGTAATAGTGTCTTTCCCCAAAGAATCATTATATTTGATGATGTCTCAAGAGAAGACATCAAGAATGCACTCCATTCAAGGTCAATTTATATGATGCTCTCAAAAAGACTTTAGCCTCCACCACCTTTCAGCGATATTGTAAAGGGAAAATTAGAGCTACTCTGTGCATCACAGAGTCTGGGAGAATATAAAATGATACACCATGTGGGTTGTGTTGAGTACAATCCTAGTTTCTTCCCTTTTCTGACTGTATCACCATGGAAGAGTTATATAAACTCTTTGCTTACTGTCCATCTGAAAAATGGAATTCAATATAACAACTTATTTTATTATTATTATTATATATATATTTTTTTGAAATGGAGTCTTGCTCTGTCACCCAGGCTAAAGTATAGTGGTATGATGTCGGCTCACTGCAACCTCTGCTTCCTGGGTCCAAGCGATTCTCCTGCCTCAGCCTCCTGCGTAGCTGGGATTACAGGCACCTGCCACCGCGCCCGGCTAATTTTTGTATTTTAGTAGAAATGGGGTTTCACCATCTTGGCCAGGGTGGTCTCAAACTCCTGACCTCGTGATCCACCTGCCTCGCCCTCCCAAAGTGCTGGGATTACAGGCGTGAGCCACCGCGCGTGGCCTCCTTTTGTTATTAAGAGTAAAACAAAAAGCCAGATCTTTTCAAATCTTCAGGCTTGAGTTGTGGATACGGTCTTATTTTTTCATAGATGTAATATTGTGAAATATATATCTGGTCTTCACCCAGTTTTCTGTCATGTAGCTCCTAAAATCCTCAGACTCTCCAGAGTGATGAGTGTCTTTTGTATGCTAATGAGATGATTGGCGGTCTGGGGCTTGCTGGGTAGCTTCAGGATGGGAGATGGTCATCAGGCAGACCAAGCCACAATTAGAGGGTCAGCCCCACCCCCCAATCTCCAGGGAGAGAAAAGGGCTGAAGGTTAAATTGTCCAGTGGGTTAATCAATCCTGACTATATAATGAAGTCTTCTTAAAAACCCAAAAGGACAGGGTTCAGAGAGCTTCTGGATAGCTAATACCTGGAAGTTCCTAAAAGGCGGCTCGCCATGGGAGGGCATAAAAACTCCATGCCCCTTCCGGCATGCCTTGACCTATGCATCTCTTCATCTATATCCGTTGTGAAATCTTCTATAATAAACCAATGCATGTAAGTATTTTCCTGAGTTCTGTAAGCTGCTCTAGCAAATTAAGGGAACCCCCAGGCAGGGTCATGGGAACACTGACTGATAACCAGTTGGTCAGAGGCACAGGTAAAACAACTTGAGGTTTGCCATTGGCACTGGAAGTTGGGGGCAGTCTTGTGGGCTGAGCCCTCAATGAATGGGATCTGATGCTATCTCCAGGTAGATAGTGTCAGAATTGAATTGAATTGGAGAACATCCCACTGGTGTCTGCAAGAGAATTCCCACAGAGTCCACTGGAGAACTAATTGGTTCTGGTGGGGAAAACACATTTTGGTGACCAGAGATGAAGTGTTGTGTATTGGCTATGTGAGAGTAGAGAAAATACTTTGGTGGGATTGTTTTCCTCCAATATCTCTTTAAAATACTGTTTTTTACATTTGATGTATTTCATAATCAAACATTAAATCGTTAATTTTCTTTTTTTTTTTTTTTTTTTTTGAGATGAAGTTTCGCTCTTGTCTCCCAGGCTAGAGTGCAGTGGTACAATCTTGGCTCACTGCAACCTCTGCCTCCCAGGTTTAACATCCCAGGTTCTCCTGCCTCAGTCTCCCAAGTAGCTGGGATTACGAGAATGCACCACCATGCCTGGATAATTTTTGCATTTTTAGTAGAGACGAGGTTTCACCATGTTGGCCAGGCTGGTCTCAAACTTTTGACTTAAGTGATCCACCCACCTCGGCCTCCCAAAGTTCTGGGATTACAGGCATAAGCCACCACACCTAGCCAATCATTAATTTTTTAATAAGCATCACTGAAAGACAATATAGAAATCACTGAAAAGACCCTATATACATTCAAAGTAAAAGTAACTTTATAGAACTTTTATTCATAAAAGCAACACCTGATCGTTATAAGAAATTTGGGAAATTATGAAGTGGAAGATGGGGTGGGGGGAATCACTCACCAGAGGAGAGATATACACAGTTACTGTAAACTTGAATACTTTTGGGAATTGCGAGTAGCATTTTTCAAAACAGTGCTTGTTAGGGTGTAGCAAGTACAGAAAAATAGGGCTGCTTTAGATTGCTGAAGCCCAGGACAAGCCCTGCACCTTATCGACACCCTTAAATTGTTGAGAATGTTGCGTGAGGCAGAAGAGTCAAGTAGATGGCTTCTAAGATTTTCTCCAAAACTAAAATTTTGTCATGTTATGCTTCCACTCAACAAGTACATATTGGGTACCTACTACATGGAAGACACTGTGCTGGTAATAGTCTATATACTAGTGAGCAAAGTGACAGGAAGATAGGCATCAAACAATGCATCAGATAATTCATAATTGGTTACAATGTAGTAAGTGAGGTTATTGTGAGATTATGATAGACAAGGTGTCCCATCTGAGAGAGGGAAGAAGGCAGCTGAGCTTTGGACACTAAAGGAGAATCAACTAGATAAATGGAGGAAGGTGAAATGAAGGAGAGGAATGGTCTGTGCAAAGGCCCTGTGGCAGGAAAGAGATCCATATTCTCTAAGAACAGACCACAGAGATTAGAGTGATGGTGGGTACAGGGTATGTCACAGATGAGACTAGAGAGTTATCAGGAGCTCTTTGGATTGTAAGTGGACTCCTCAGACTAACAGTTTGGCTTTTATTCAAAATAAAGTGAGAGTCCATTGAGGAGTTTTCAGTAGGGAGTACCTGCTGTGCAGATTGGGCTTCCCTGATGAGTCTGAATTAGATGGTGAAAGGGTGACTATATGTGGAGACCAAGAGTCTGCTGAAATAATTCAGGCAAGAAGTGACAGTGGCAGAAGTGGATGTGGAGAATGGTATTTAAAAGTAACATCACTAGGACTGGGTGCAATTGAATAATAGAGGGGGACGGCTGTAGAAAGGATGACTTCCAGACCAAATGTATTAAATCTGGTTGTTCATGTGTAAAGTTTCAGGAATGTGACTTTGTAAAGTCAAGAAACACATATTAAACCCTTGTTATAATTCAGGCCCTATTTTAGGCACAGAGAACACTACAATGAACAAAGGAAATTCCCATAGCACCTATGGAACCACGTTATGACAAAACTTAGACCAGATGTCAGTGAACTACAGTCATGACCAAACTTGATCTGCTGCCTGTTTTTGTAAATAAAGTTTTATTGGAACGCAGCCATGCCCATTCATTCACATATTGTTTATGACTACTTTCTCCTGGAAATGTCAGAGTTAAGAAGTTGCAATGGAGACTACATGACCCACAAAGATGAAAGCATTTACCATCTGGACCTTTACAGACAGTTTGTGAACCTTTAACTTAGATAATCTGCATGTTAATCTTATCCTTCACTCTGATTTCCTGATAACTTGGGAAAGCTAGGTAACCTCTCTGACTCAATTTTCAGAGATGTAAAATAGAGCTAGTAATACCTATGTTATTTGTCCATGTGAACAAATTGAGAAAATATCAGCGAGGGCTTTGGAATATAAAAAACTAACATGCTAGGCTGGGTGCGGTGGCTCATGCCTGTAATCCCAGCACTTTGGGAGGCCAAGGCAGGCAGATCATGAGGTCAGAAGATCGAGACCATCTCGGCTAACACGGTGAAACCCTGTCTCTACTAAAAATGCAAAAAATTAGCGTGTGGCTGATGCCTGTGGTGGCAGGTGCCTGTAGTCCCACCTACTCGGGAGGCTAAGGCAGGAGAATGGTGTGAACCTGGGAGGCGGAGCTTGCAGTGAGCCAAGCTCTCGCCACTGCACTCCAGCCTGGGTGACAGCGAGACTCTGTCTCAAAAAAAAAAAAAAAAAAAGGTAACATGCTAGTAGATGATATGAAGGTATATCATGAGAGTATGCTATTTTGATTTTAATCTTCCTTTTTTCTAGCATTTGAAGCCCTCAACCTACTTTTCCAACCTGATACTGCTCCACCTTCTAAAAGTATTTTCTACAGAAGCCAAGCTGAAAACTGTCTCAAGTGTAGACCCTCATTTATACTGTTCCCTGTTCTCTCACCACCCCCTTCCTTCAGTTTACTAAAATCCTGCTCTATTATGGTCTTTTATAAGTGTCACCTTCTTAATGAAGACTTTCCAAATGGACTCACCCAGATGCCTCTCCTTTGTTCATATATACTTCATGCTAAGTCTGTCCCTTTCTTAACTGCCTGTCCCCAATCTGTTATGGCATTGCGCTAGTTTGTCTTGTTCTGACTTATGAGATAGGAGAGAAGATGAGCACTGAAACTTGCTCATATCTATAGTTCTATAGTGCTTAGCACAATGTCTTGTCCTAGCAGAGGCTTTGAGTTGCAAGTAGGGACTTGAAAACACAATCCAAACCACAAACTATAAGCCATTGATTGAAATCAAATATATACCTAATCATGATTTGGAGTTTTCAATTGCAATCCTAGGACTGGCTCCTCCATAGGAAGAAGGCTATGCAGAAATAGAGGCTTCCCAGCAACCTAAAGACAAATGCAACAGTGGCTTAAAGAGATTCTTCATGTGAATACAGAGATCACAACCTGATGACCCACAAGTTTATTTCGGTCTCCAGAGCTGTTCTTTTTCTCTAGAATTGTGTAGACCAATGCAGGGTTATAATTTTTTTTTTTTTTTTTTTTTTTTTTTTTTTTTTTTTTTTTTTTAGTTACCAGCATTTTAAAATGGGAAGATTTAGTACAAAAATCTAGATTTCTGACTTCTTTTAGAAGAAGCCTGAGTTCCCACGTGGCGACTATCTATAATAGCATAGTAGTGACTGCTCTCTGTGTATGAAGTATATGATCTCCAACTTGCCACAGTCCCCACCAATCCCTATTGTATGTCTGATGTTGTAGCTCCAACACAGTAGCTATTTATCTTTGTGCTTGCTCTGTTTATGTCTGTTTTCAAAAAATAGAATTGAAAGAAAAATAAAATATTTATTTTACCCATATTTTTAATAAAAATGTAAAATTAAAAATAATCTGAGAAGTAGCTGGTAACATACAATTAAGCTTGTGGATTCAAAAGTCAGACTATCTCGGCCCAAATATGGTAGCCTGTCAGTTGAGTTGCCTGATAAAATATAGAAAACACAGTTAAATATGAATTTCAGATAAACAATGAATAATGTTTAGTATAATTATATCTCATGTATTTTTATTTACCAAATCTGAGAACCCTACTTGTACTTACTATGTGACATCAGGCAAGAGTTAGCCTCTCTGTGTCTCAGTTTCCTCATGTGTAAACTGGGGATAATAAAGGAACATTGTGAGTATAAAATAAATATTAGCCACTATCATTGTTAGTTTATTTAAGAAATATAGCAGACAGAATATTTTCTTGAGACAGTGAAGAACATGTCTTTATATTTGATAAAGTGTGTCTTATCCAAGATGTTGCATTTGAGTAGCAGCTGCTCTAGACAAATCTCGAAAATCTCAGTGGCCTTATGCTAAAGATTTATTTCTACTTTATGTAATGTGGACTATAGGTCAAAGGCCAGATAGTTCCCTCTTACGTGGAAGATGTGACCTCCAAAGGCACCACAGCAGAGGAAGGAGATGGAGAAGGCATGCCCGCTGGAAGTGATACAAGCAGCTTCCCCTAACAGCCCATTGGCCATAACTAGTCACATGGTCCTAACCTAAATGCAACGGAGACTGGAAAATACAGGGGAGCTTATAGACTGGTGAGCAGTAACCGTTTATCTGCCTGGCTGCTATAGACAACTGGACTTGTAACTCCAGTATTTGCAATGGATTCAAAATCAGAAGACCCTCCTTCTTGTTCTGCTCTTTCTCAAGCCAGAGAAATATAGCCAGAGGATTTTTCTTTCCCTGGGAGGTTCATTTCCTCCCCCACCACTGGAGAAACAAAAGAGATTTCTTTTTTTCTTCCTGTCAGGAACAGGAAGTTGTTCTAAGTTCAGTTGATTATATTGTTGACTTAGAAACTTTGAAACAGAATCCAAAGTCAAACAGAAGAAAAAAGGGAAGGGGGAAATTAAAGTATTCTGATTAAGGACCCACAGATATCACAAGTAGTAAAGTCTTTCCAATTTGTAGCACATAAACCAGGTCTCATTTTTCATTTTGGATTTGGAGCTTCCTAAACCCTGATTCTTCCAGCATTTGCAGAGTAATTCTCAGAGGATAGACAAATGCCTGCACAGGTCCAATCACTGGGGTGAATCCAGGTGTTTGCCTGGAATGGAATTTCGCCAAAAGAAATTCAGTCTGCGGCTTTGCGTTCAGGAGAATGACACATGGATCAATACAGCAGCCAGCACTAGGCTCACTGGCTGGTCCTGGGTTGAAGGCCAATGCAGTCTGCCAGGTTGCCAAGGTTAATGAAGCTGTGTTGTTCTAATCTCATCTTAAATGAGGTTTTTGAGCTGTGAACAGGGAAGGAGAATGGGTGAACCTATGATGAGTGATGAGGCTTTGTCAGTTATACCCCATGTGTACGATTCGTAAGTCAGGTAATATTTCCTGATCTGAAAATCTGAATTTGCAGCTTTGGTGATGATTTTTAGATAAGTTCTGAGGAGTTGCAAGTAGAGACTTGAAGATACAATCAAAACCGCCAACTGGTAAGCCATCTGTGTGTGTTCAAGGAAGAAGTTCATTTAATCTTTGTACTCTGAAAGAAAAGGAAGGTACTGTTGACGGATCCATAAAATACATGTGATGCTAGAGTGGCAGAGACTCAAAGATGGGAAGAAAATCGTTTACCCAACATTATCGTTCTGCCTGGATCATCATCTAAAATTTCATAAGCATTAGTTCTAGTGCCATAATAATCTTTAAAAAGAAAACATTCCCAAAATGATAGACTTGTTCTATACTTATTATCATCATTGGGAGGCATTTGCTAGAAGTTTACTAAAGTCAAGGGAGACTTAGTGGCACTTAAATTATTTTGAGAACTATATTGATCCCTTTCACCTATCCTTGGGTTTGCCTCTGTCCAAAATCCAGAAACCTCTTACAGTTTCATGTTCATAACACATGCTAAAACCTTTCTCCTTAGGGGAAGTAATGATTTTTAATATGAAGGCTATTAAAATGCCAACAAGGAGTTTTTTATAATATGCTAAATTGTTTTTACCTCTACCTAAGCAATCTTTACTTAACTGAAACGTTGTTGATTTCTTTTTTTATGTCATGGTTTCTTTCATGAAGAATCTATGCGTTTCATCTGCTTGAAGGTAATCCTTCCCAGACCAAGTACATGGTCCACAGAATTGGAAGAACTATAAAGTAGTATTTTTACCCAAACCCTTTTACTTGATGTTAATATGGCACTTGACACTGAGATGATTCTACTCTAGTTGAATTTCTAAAGAACTCTATCTGCTCTTCTTTAGCATACCCATTAATCAGTTTGATTCCCGAGTCTGACCTCTCCAACACATGGCATTATGTTTTCTCAGCACTTCCTTCTCCTTGGCATTGCACAGAATTCTTTTGACCCTCATCCTGTCTGTTCTCTTTTTTTTTTTTTTTTTTTGAGATGGAGCCTCCCTCTGTTGCCCAGGCTGGAGTGCAGTGGCGCAATCTGGGCTCACTGCAACCTCCGCCTCTCGGGTTCAAGCAATTCTCCTCCCTCAGCCTCCTAGTAGCTGGGACTACAGGTGCATGCCAACACACCCAGCTATTTTGTGTGTGTGTGTTTTTAGTAGAGATGGGGTTTCACTGTGTTAGCCAGGATGGTCTCGATCTCCTGACCTTGTGATCTGCCCGCCTTGGCCTCCCAAAGTGCTGGGATTATAGGCCTGAGCCACCGCGACCTGTTCTGTCTGTTCTTAATACTGGTATCAATTTCTTTGGATTTGGTCAGAAATTTGCATCCCTAGATTAACCTCGAATATCATATTGTCAAAGTGGTAAATAGGAATTAGTTGTTTTTAGTTTTTAAAAAGTCCTAGATCCCCACCAAAAGCGTTACCCAGGAACTGCTGTAGTTAAAATAGAATCCATTCGTCTTGCCAGAGTTGTTAATTGGGGACTTACTATGGGTAGGATTGACTCAGATGTTAGCCTGATTTAGAGATGAATGTAGCATGTCCACCCCTGTTGTAGAAGCTCAGAGAATAAAATTCTCTATAGAAGATCATTTTTTGTTTCAGACTCACTTTACCAGTCATGATTTTGAGTATAAATGTAAGTGTCCCAAGGTCTCCGAGGTGACAGGAGAGGGTGGAGGAAAGGAGGGAAAAGAGAAGATGGTCGTAAGGCAAAGAGGCTGGTTAAGCGTTATTTCAGTCTCCTCAGTCCTCTGGAATTCTTCTCTTGCCGTGTCACAGATAATGGAAACATCAGCTTAAAGAAGTCTGGCAACATTTCCCTGGTCACACAGCCAGTCGGAGCCACTTGGTGGACTGCAAAGCCTATGCTCTTACATCTCATCTCATCTTTTTTTTTTTTGAGACCAAGTCTCACTCTGTTGCCCAGGCTAGAGTGCAGAGGCCTGATCTTGACTCACTGCAACCCCTGCCTCCTGGGTTCAAGCGATTCTCTTGCCTCAGCCTCCCAAGTAGCTGGGATTACAGGCGTGCACCACCATGCCTAGCTAAATTTTGCATTTTTAGTAGAGACGAGGTTTCACCATGTTGCACAGGCTGGTCTTGAACTCCTGGGCTCAAGTGATCTGCCCGCCTTGGCCTCCCAAAGTGCTGGGATTACAGCATGAGTCACTGTGCCCAGACTTCCATCTCATCTACCAAACTGCCCCACAGATGGGGAGTGGAGCGTGGAGGATGATGGGTGAAAAACCAGGACAAGTGGTTCTGACCAGTTGAAAGGCCTCTTATTCTTATTGTTACAGAATCTGAAAAGTTAAGTAAAATCAAAGAAAGAGTAGTCAAATGATTTTAACATTTGACTATTGTTAACAACCAAATTAGAAGGCATTAGTACAGTCTGTTAAATTTCTAAATGTGCTTATCTCTACCAGTCATTCTACATCTTTGTGTCTCCCTGAGAGAAATACTTGCACATTGGTAGAAAGAAGCATGCACATTAATAGTGAAATTGTACCTAATGTGCACAAATTAGAAACAACAGAAATATTCATTAATGGAAAAATAAATAAATTTTGATAAATCTGTAGTATTGAATACTATGGAGATAAGGTAGATCCATACATGTTGAACTAAAAAAGGATTTTCAAGACATATTACGCGGAAAAAAATCAAGTAGCAGAAAAATACATATAGAATGATCATACTTATGTAAAAATTAATTTAAAAGTCTATATTTCAGAAAAGGGAGTGATGGGTTAAGAGGGAAATAATACTTTCAAATTTGGGAGGGAGAGAGCACAGGTAGTTTCACGTAGAGAAAATATTTGAATTGGGCGTTGGAGGATGGTGAAATGTAGAGATGGTCAGGATTTACCCTAGGTTACCTTGCTAATAAGGGGTGGAGTCAACATTTGAAGTCAGTTCTATCTGAATCCAGAGTTGGTGCTTTTAACTAAGATTCTTCTCACAACACAATTGTAAACTGAATATAAGTTGTAGCTGTAACTCACATATGTAGTTACACGATGTACACATGGATTTTTTAGGTATGTTAGGTACTCTCCTAGAAATCCTGTGGAATACCCAGATGAATTAGAGCACCTGGCCTTAATAGCTTCAAGTCTAGTAGAGCAAAGAAGATGTATTTACAAATCTTTTTAATATATGAAAGAAAGTTAGCGAGGCTGTAAAGCAAAATCATAGGGAAATTCAAAAAAGGATTGGTAAATCAAGAGAAAATTAAGATACTCCCAGCTGAGGGGCTAGAAGCTGTACCGGGTATAATGCATTCAGCTGCAAGAAATAAATGAAGTAACAGTGACTTAAACCATAAGGTTTCGTTTCTTAGCAAAAAATCAAATGTTAATGGTACAATGATGTACCGCATTCATCTCAACAATGTCACTGAGGATATAGTTCTGTGATGGTTAATTTTATGGGTTACCTTGGCTAGGCCAAAGGATGCCCAGATATAAATGTTATTTTGGGGCATGTCTGTGAGAAATAAGCATTTGTATTGGACTGAGTAAAGCCGGTGGCCCTCCCCAATGTGAATGGGTATCACCAATCTGCTGAGGGCCTGAACAGAATAAAAAGACAGACAAGGGCTAGATTTACCCTTCCTCTGCCTGACGACTTAAGCTGGGACATGAATCGTCTCCTGCCCTTGGTGTGCTGGTTCTCAGGCCTTCAGATTCAGACTGGAATCTATACCATCAGCTACCTGCCCCTCAGGCCTTTGAACTATGTACACCACGGGCTTTCCTGGGTCTCTACCTTACAGATGGCAGATCTTGGGACTCTCAGCCACCATAATCGTGTGAGCCATGCCTTTTAATAAATATCTCTCAGATCAGGGGCAGTGGCTTACACCTGTAATCCCAGCACTTTGGGAGGCAGAGGAGGAGGATTGCTTGAGGCCAAGAGTTTGAGGCCAGCCTGGGCAACATAGTGACACCTCAACTCTACAAAAATTAAAATTAAAATAAATTAGCTAGGCATGGTGGCATGCACCTGTAGTCCTAGCAACTTGGGAGGCTGAGATGGGAGGATCGCTTGAGTCCGGAAGTTTGAGGCTGATAGGAGCTATGCTCAAGTTACTGCACTTCAGCCTGGGTGACAGAGAGACCCCATCTGTGAAAAAACAACAACAAAACTCAAAGATAGATAGATAGATAATCTCCTAATGGTTCTGTTTCTCTGAAGAACTGTGACTAATACAGATTCCCCCTGTCCTTTCCAGTCATCCTTCATCTTTGGGCTTGTCATAGTCCAACATGGCAGCCACAGTTTCTGGTGTCTCAACCACATTCAAGGGCAGGAAGCAGAAGGTAGCCAGGGAAGCAAAAAAGGTTGGGGAGCTTAATGAAGGACACTCTGCATGTCTGAAAATAATTTTTTCTCAGATGCCTCCTCCAGAGATTTCCTCTTATATTTCATTGCCCAGAACTGGGTCATAAGTCCTTGCCCTCCCCTGTGTACTTCCTGATGGGACACTGACAGTGACAGTGACAGCAGGATTCTGGCTTTCCTACCCTCTGTCATTAAACACCAGCTAGGAAGAAGGAGCCTCTTGGTACTGGGAAGCATCCAAGAGTGCCACCGCAGCTTACGTGGAGGAAGCCATAGCTGGGTTGGGTCTTAAACAGTGATGAAAAGGACATTTATTAGATTGTCTCCCCAGTGTAAGTAGGAGCTGCCCAAACCATATAGTATGTTCCCATTCTCTGGGGATACATTGTAATAGATTTTAATAGATCCTGCCAAATTACCGTTTTCTTTTGTTTGTTCCTCTCTAGGGGCGTTTCTCGCTTTCTTCCTTTTATTGAAGCTAATTGTGTAAGCATCTCACTCCTGCTGTGCTGTCCGTTTGACATTGTTAATTCTCTGTGCTTAGTTTCCTGTGTTAGTCAAGATCCCACTTATTGTATTAGAGTTTAACACCAAGTATTATTAAACATGTCTTAGAAAACTGAAAAGGCAAAAAAGGAGCCCAGAGTATTACACGGGAAGTAATCGCAGGAAGCTGCTACCACCCCAGCTGTTGGAGGAACAAAGAGGTCAGGATTGTTAAAACTTAACGGAAAACCTTAAAAGAGAAATGAGGGTAGAAACGGGGAGAGAAGGTAAAAGGCTTGGGAGAGGGACCCGACAATGCTGGATCTCGGACTTTTGAGGAGGGGATACCTGCTGGTGCCAGCATCTCTGAGAGAGTTTGATGCACCTGGTTCTGATAGTGGGAAAAACTGCAACTTGGAACGAGCTACTGCTCCTGGAACCAAGGACTTGCCAGCTTTAAACCCCTGATGCTGGAGAGATCCCGACTGCAACAGCAAGCCAGACCAAGAGGGATGAGTCCCTTTCCTCTCCACCTGCAAGCTCCCTCTAGTGCCCCCTATTGGTGACCTAACAAAGAGCAGCTGGCAAAACAGAAATTAGGTTTGTTGGTATCAGCTGCAGCATCACGTGATGGCAGAGGATGGAAGATTTAGAGCTAAGAGCTCCAAACAGCACAGCCTTTATTATTATTATCACATCCTTATTAAGTAGAAGTAATAATAGAAGTTACCTCATAGTGTTATTCTGAGGGTTAAATGATGTAAACCATGAGAAGTAAACAGCTGAGTACCTACAGCCTAATAAGCACTCAGGAAGTATTAGCAGATGTTTTGGTTTTGTTGTTGTTGTTTTGTTTTTTGCTATACTGTATTCTTCTTTTATTTCATGCATGCAAATTTAAGTTTATTAAGTCAATCAGTAGTGCTACAACTACAGACATATAGCTATACTGACAATTTTTAATATGTGGTTCACTTTTAATAGTAAACATCTCAGTATAATATTAGTTCAGAAATTTAATTGTTAGACGTT